TGTAGTCAAGAAAAAAATAGGAATTAAAAAAGATGAGAAAAGAAAGAAGTTGAGGGTAGTTTGTTAGATGATCCAGGAGTCATAGCATCTTGCTTCAGAGTGAAAATTTAAAAACGTACGTTTTCAGGAAAAGCTCTTTGCAAATTCTTTTCCCCTTTTTTCAAAACTTTTACTATTATTTTTATTTTATTAACATTTGAAGTTTCATAAAATGTCCATGGTAACGCAATATCTTTATGGTAGTTTCTTTTTAAAAAAGCATCTTTAGTGGAAAAACACAAAATCCTGTCACGACCATAACGGACGTTTAAATGAATATTAAAAATAGTTAATGTTATTTTTATAACTATGTTTTGCTATAAACTAATTTACTTTTATGACCATTATACAATAAAAAGGTCACTGAGCATTTGGTATATTTGGTCTTTCTAGAAAAAAATAAAAAAACTCAAAAAATTGAAAATAAGCCAATAAAAGCTTTTTAAGTTTGTATAACTCCGAAAAAACTTACCTGAGACCCGAAAAATCGTTATGTTTGTATAGAGGTGTGCTTCTTTTGTGTATAAAACATTGAAATATGACGATATTTTAATTTTTTAAATTTTTATGATAGAAATCATAAACGTGATGGTCAGGGACAAGCGGTACGGTCGTGAATTGTCTGGAATAATCTAAATCTTTCTAAACAATCCTTCAATTATCCTGTTAGTTATAATAAAAATAAGTGTTTCAATTGAACTAAACTGTTCAATTTACAATTATATTAAAGTTATTGTCACGACCAAACACACTATAATCCATAAGGCTGGATTGGTCGTGAAAAAACCCGCGATGGTCGTGAAACTTTGGTCGTGAAATTACGTGTTATTTGGTTCTGTTCTGGCGGTAGCCCTGAACCTCATGTTCGAGGATACAAAGTGGACTTCTAATCTTGTAATTCCTCCTTTCAACTCGAAACGACCGGCACTACAATCCTGACATAAACCCCGTCCTCGAACTAGTCTCTAAAACCAACTGACTCCATCGACGCCAGGCTTGCCACTGTCGAGCTCCAAAGTTGAAAATTTTTCCCAAATGGTCGTGACGCCAAATCGAGGGACAGACTTATTTTGTCATGGTAGTCAGTTTGTAATGACAATAAAATTATAATATGCTCCTTTTTTGTAAGTTTAATAACCATTGATGACATAAAAATATGGCTTTATATATTTCGGCATGAATAATTAGTCTAAAAACAGCGTGAAAGTTGGAAAATGTACCCTAGGGACACGTCATGGTCGTGAATTTCGAGACTTTAAAAATACGAAAAAAATACCTAGAACCTATTTAAAACCAAATAAATGTGTGTAACATGTTGCCCCCGTCCCAAAAATATTAAAACACATAATAATAAACTACAAATCCAGTATCTACGAAGTAAAAGGCTAGGGACATGAAAACGTACGTTTTTAAATTTTCAATCTTCAACAATCACTTTATAAACACAGTAGATATTTTAAATGTCCCGGCCTCGTCTTTCACAGATATCAAATCCCTATCAGCTTTGTCATTTCCAGTGTTGATGGACCTTTGCCCAACACAGGGCTCAGAAATAGGCAAAATTATACAGAGCCTAAGCAATTCTGGCTCTGTTGGTTGGGATGAGGCTCCAACGAGGTTAATTAAACCGTCCCAACACTTAATTGCCCCAGCTTAATAGTTAACCAATGTTTTTTGTCAGGTCAATTTCCAGATAAACTTAAACTATCAGAAGTAAAACCAATTTTTAAGAAAGGAAAAAGAACAGATATTAATAATTACAGACCAATTTCTATTTTAAGCAACTTTGCAAAACTCTTTGAAAAAGCTTTTAATTTCCGCTTGACAAATTACTTAGAACAGAACAATATATATTCACAATCACAATTTGGATTCAGGAAAAATAAATCAACCACAAAGGCAAGGCATTAACTAAATTTGTCAACATGGTCTCTGAGGTGCTGGATGAGTGGCAGAGTACTGCTGGGGTGTTCTGTGACTTATCTAGGGCATTCGACTGTGTTTACCACAAAATAATTATTTGCAAACTAAAGAAAGTAGGGATTGTTGGTCAGGTATTGCAACTTCTCTCAAACTACCTATTAAATAGAAAGCAACCCACAGTAGTTTATAAAGATGGCCACAAGTTCTTGTCCGGATGGAATAATATCAGGTACGGTGTTCCTCAAGGTTCCATCCTGGGGCCAAAACTATTCTTAACATTTATTAATGATATAGACTGTAATATATCAGGCGAACTCTTCTTGTATGCAGATGACACAAGTGTTATATTAAAAGCCCCAAAAATACATCAATTTTAAATCATTGTTCAGAAATCAATAAAAGAACTAGAGGAATGGTTCTCTCAAAATGGACTACTGTTAAATAATTCAAAATCACAAATTATGCAATTTAAGAGGAAAAACTCTTCAAATTCATTAAATAGCAGCCTATTAATCCCGACAGATTCACACAAAGTATTAGGAATACATATTGATTCAAAATTAAATTGGGGAGATCATATTCAATATCTAACAAAAAAATTACTTTCTTTTTGCTATGCAATAAGTGTTAAAATTGATGCAACATCTCTGGAAGTATGTAAATTAGTATATTGTGCCTATATTGATTCTATAATAAGGTATGGTATAGTACTCTGGGGATACAGTCCCAAAACAAAAAAAAAAAAAACTTCTTAACGCACAAAAATCAATTGTACTTACCATAGTTAAAGTGTCAAAGAAAAAAAGTTCTAGACCTCATTTAAAAAAAATTAGGGATTTTAACCATCACAAGTATGTACATTTTTGAAATGATTAAGCTATTAATTAACAATATAGATAATTTTGAAGAGTTTAAATCTACACATAATTATTCCACTCGTCAGAAATATTTATATCAATTCCCAATATATAGACTAACTCTTTTTGAACGTACACCAAAATACATGGCTATAATTTTTTTTAATAAACTACCAAAAAGAATCACCAACAATCTAAAAAATATACTCCTAGAAAAATTACACCAGTTATTAATTGAAAAGGCATATTATAAAATAGAAGATTTCTATTCTGATGTTTTCTAAACGGACAGGAATTAATTTAAATTTGTAAACTAAATTCACGTTAAATACATACCTGATGGCTTTCATTGATTTTAGCAGGATTTTATCTTATTTGTTGTTTTTTATAGTGGTAACTTTTACTTGATGTCAGTAGGTAGTAATAATTTTGAGTTGTGTGAATTTATTAGCTATAGCATTTTTTTTATATAATTTTTATTATGACGACACTCCTATCCTTGTACGTTGTACTTTGTAAGATGTTATGAGTGAATAAAGAATTTGAATTTGAATTTCTATAATAAAATACAATAATGACTTTAAAATTTAAGTTAGCCTGTTCCTGTTGCATTCAAACCCTTAAAGTATGCGACTTGCTATCCCTGGCACGCCTCTTCACTACTACCTTTTTTCTAAGTCTACTCTTATAGAATTCAACATAGCTTTGATGTTTTTTCACAGATTTCCTTAAACATGGTGTTGTTGTACTACTTGTTAGTTTTCTAACCAAAAATCGTCTCTAAGATGTCTTAAAAACGTACAATATTTCCGATATTTAATTTTAAAGTAGTTTCAAATTTTACTTTTTGCAAGAATGTTGTTTGGGGCCTAAAGTATAAGAGATAGAAGAAAAGTTGTAATAATCTTTTTAAAGGACAATATACTTAGGCGTAAATAGACACTCAAACCACCATTCTATCATTAACTGTTTAAGAGTTAGACGCCGAAACGTAAACCCTTTACGTGTGCAACTTCCCCCCTCCAGTTTATCAGAAACTGAATTGCAGCCTGAAGCAAGGGTCTACATGAACAAACCCCGGACCATTCAGGAGTTGAAGGCTGCAATTCACAACAAAATCACATCAATTCCTGGTGATGTGCTTGAGCGAGCAATGCGGAACCTCAAGGACCTACTCCAAGAATGCGTTGCTCGAGAAGGAAGGCATTTGATGGATGTAATTTTTAAAAACTAACTTAACTAATTTTTTGTCAATAAACTTCCATTGTAACTACACGTTTTGCACTTTATTTAAATCCAACACCTTTAAAATTGACAGTTTGACAAGTATTTTAAAACCACCCGATCCATCTGCGCCACCCTGTACTTTCTGGTATAAATTTAGTGACTTTTTGTTTATAAATTTGTACTACTTAACAAGCGTTTGGATTAGGCGGTATAGAACATCTTCCCGTTGCGATGCACAGGTGGGCTACAGCAGCTAGTATATAGATATATAGACACAACTGCTGGCCAAAGTGAACTTGATAACACGACAAGAAGAGCACCTCGATAACAAAATTATTTTTCTCCTAATACCCTCGACACTACTCATTTAGAGTTACCAAAGACAATAGTGCTATGATTACATTTGTGACATAATTGAATTTGAAAGGATTAAAAAATTAATATATAAATGGAATATTTTAAGGGATAGACTTAAAAACTTAGGTGCACATTTAAATAAAGTTACTGGGAGTGGCAATTATTAGCTATCAAATTTAAATGCACACAAAGCAAAAACCTTATGATAAACATCATTATTTGCTTCTAAGTTTTATTAGTATAACTCGATTTTCCAACCTTATTCTATCATGAAGTATAAATTGATATTGCCACATGATAACAACCTCTAATAATGAAAATCCTTAAGACTGTAAATAAAGGTACAGATATCTGAAGGGTAATGAATGTTGGATATAACCAGTAATAATTTATCTTATACCAAATAGACTTGAGAAAACTGGACAACGATAAGTTCAACAAATATAACCACCAGGGCCGGTTCTAGGAATTTTTCAGAGTTAAGCGAACACCCGAATCAGCGCCATCTAGAATTCCCCCCCCCCCCCCCCCACCAACCCATGAACATAACTTAACCCTATTTGTGAAATTTAGGTTAGAAGAATACTTGCAATAAAAGACTTTTTTCAACAACTGTTTATTATTCACAGAAATTTAACATTTTTACACTTTTACTCATCTTATACACTTTAGCAAAACCCAAGTTACGGTATACAACTAAGAGTGCAATCATAGATAAAACATACTCCCCCAGTAGATTTCTCATCCTTATGGTACAGCTGAAGACAATTTTATTGTTAGTTCTGTACGGTTTATGTAGAGGTTGTGTTTTGTTTACAATTTGTTTCCCATTATTACAGTAATTTAAAACCTCATTCAACCAAATAATACAATCTAATCATAAACAATAACTTGTCTCCTAGTTATATAACCAAACAGTAAAGCACAAATCAAGAAATTAACCCTAAAATAATACAAACAAAACTTTGTCGACACTAGCGTCCAGTGTCACCGTACATGAACTAGACACGAAAAACATAATTCAAAATTTACATTGGATGACAAGTCTACTTGTGTTGGTTAGTCTATGGTGCAATACAACGTCTGATACAACGTACTGCTCTGCTCTAGGAGGGGAGAGTGATCAGGGGAAGTTTCTTGTTGTGACAAGTGGCGCTGTGCGCTTATCTTCAGCATGAGTCATCAAATGAAACAATGAAACCCACAAGCACCGCGCTGTACGCTGTCGAATCGAAACTCAATGCCTTGAGTTGAAGTGCTGTACAAGTATACGCATTTTTCAAGTGCTGTTGGTACAAACAGAATAAATGCCTTTGGTGGGGTGCTTTGGATACTTGAACTCTATGAGCAAAAAAAAAAAAAAAACAAAATTAAGTTGTTCACCTGTCAGTAAAGTTCTTTCCAATTTTGTCTTCTGAAAAAAAAAATAGTGTCCCATTGGTGCCACTTTTCTTGGGGCCATATGCGACCGCGTAGTTTGCGTATGGGTTAAACCGGCCCCGATAACCACTACGCTACATTTTTAATGTTATTGTCAAGCTGCTCATCGCAAACAATTTGTATTGTGATGTGACTGGCGACTACTTCCTCTTCCACATCACTCTCTCTGACACCACTTTTCAATTGTTTCATCCTGCAATCAAACAAGTTACATATGGGAAATTGTATTGATAATAGGTATGGATTAGGAAAAAATCAAGTAAAAATAAGGTCCGTGTTAATGTGAATATACTGTTCACTGGAAGCTCTACTGAGATAGTAAAGTTGGTAAAAGGCAAAAACCATCTATATCTAGTTTTCTAAGAGATAAACAAATTCCTAATATAAATAACAATCGCTAGACAAGGGAGGCCATAAAGTGTTTGATGGCTGTCTGTTTCATGAATTCCCTTATTCAATTCAATTAAATTCAATTCAAACTTCTTTATTCATTATTTTGTACAATATATACATTAAATAGTGTCAGGTTGTACAACAACTCAAACTAGCCTAAGTGACAATCTCATCCACTCTATGCAGGAGACTGTAAAGTTACACCGTTGTTAATATATTCATTATGACTGTGATGGGTGGAAAAAATCGTCAAAAGAATACGGAGCTATTTTAATCGGATATTCTTTTAATCTTATTTAAATTTGTTTTTATTACTTTCTTTTTTAATTTCTTTTGGAATTGTATTTAAATATCTTTGACCGATGTAGGAAGGTTTCTTTTCAAAAAATGTTGTTTGATGTTTAGATGTTATTATGGAGTCTTTATGTCGAGTATTGTATTTATGAAGGGTTGAAATATAATCTGAAGGACGAGAATCAGCTTTCTTAACTGACAAGAATCAGTCAAAAATATACTGTCCGTAGACTGTCAAAATATTGAGTTCAACGAAGTGTTTTTTCACAGAGGCATCACGCTGTAGTTTTAGCATTATTCTAATTGCATATTCTTGTTTTTTTTTTATATATTTTCAAGATTAATTTTTGAAGTTGCTCCAAATAAACAAATCCCAAAAGCAATATGGGAATGTATGTATGCAAAATATATTTTACGCATTGTTTCAATATTACAATAAAAGGACATTTTCCTCAAAGCAAATATTCCAGAACTAATTTTTGGTAAAATTTTGTCCGCATGGTTATTCCAATCCGAATGCTGATCAATAGTGAAGCCAAGAAACTGAGCATTCGGTTTTGTTATAATTTGCTGAGAATTAAAATCTATCACTGGTTTTCTCTTATTTCTGTTTTGTTTTGTTTTAAAATTAATACAATTAGTTTTCCTACATTCAAAAACAAATTATGATCCTTGAGAAATTTATTGATGTTTTCTAATTCTAGTTTAAATTTACTTCAGTTTCTTCCAACCAAAGTCTCTGATGATAATTTCAAGTTTGAATCATCGGCATATAAAATTAATTTTGAATTAGGTTTGAATAATAAGGCATTTTTCCATGTTTTTCATATAACATAAAAATAACAGAGGACCTAATATTGAACCTTGTGGGACGCCAAATTTAACAGGGCGAGTTTCTGAAGATGTAGTAATAAGTTTATTTGAGTTTGATAGAAACGTGACTTCGACATACTGACTGCGGGCACAAAGATATGACCGAAACCAATTTAGAGAATTTTTCAATATTCATAAAGAGTGTAATTTTTGTAATAATATTGAGTGCTTTACACTGTCAAAGGCTTTAGACAAGTGCAAAAAAATGCCAGTTGTAAATTTTCCTTGGTCAACAGACTCAATTACGGATTCCACAAATGAGACTGCGGCACTAACAACTCATCTACCAGATCTAAAGCCGTGTTGGATATCATATAATAAATTGTATTTTTCTAAATAATTACTTAACTGTATTGAAGCTTTTTTCTCAAAAACTTTAGATAAAGATGGAAGCAGAGATATTGGACGATAGTTGTTTACATCTGAAGCATCACTTTTTTTGTGCCGGGATAATTTTATATTTTTTAAATTTAGTTGGATATGAACCAGTGATAAATGAAGAATTGATCAGGTGACTAAGAATTTTACTGATATACCTTTTCACTTCCTTCAACACAGTTACTGGAACCTCATCATACCCACTCAACTTGGTACTTTTCAATGAGGTAATGATTTTTTCCACCTCAGCACTGTTAACAGGAGTAAAACATAACATAGGTTTAAGTAGTCTATCTGCTATACTTTTACATTTCGAGTTATTTTGAATATTCAAAGTATTAACATTTGGATTACTGTCTTTAACTATACTAGAAAAATTGTCATTAAAATAATTACACACAATTTTTGGATTTGATACTTTCTTGCCTTCAATATTGAACTGAACATTATTGACTCCGTTTCTGGGCTTATCCCTGACCTCTGAGTTAATCAGACCCCACACAGTTTTTTGTACATTATTTGAGTTATTAATTTTCTTCTGAAAATGTTCCCTTTTTGATTTTACTAACATATGCTTGAGGTTACATTTCAATTTTTTACATAATTTTGATAACTTAGAGTGCCTAGTTCTTCTAATTTCTCTTGTTAATTGAACAATTTGATAATTTGTACTTCTGATGTCTTTAGTAGCCCAATTTTTATTATTGTTTTAAAAAGTGATTAAAGTTTTAGGGAAAGCTTGATTGAAAAGGTAATTAAAAGTATTGTAAAACAAATCATATTTAAATTCAACAGGGGCAAAATACACATCTTCCCACGATTCTTTCCTTAATAGATTTGAAAAATTACTAATGTTTTCAGGAGAAAATTAACGCATCTCCTTTTTAACAGGTTGTTTCTTTTTTTGTTGATGATTCGGAACATTAATTGACATAATTTGACGGTCTCTGTCAGATAGACATGTTATGATTCCTTCTACCACCATGTAAGACTTATTGTCAATTGTAAGAAAAATTGTCAATTGTGTTGTCTACTACCCTAGTGGGAAAATCTACCAAATAACACATAGCATTACTTATAAGAATTTCTGTCAATAATCTATAATTTCTATTATTTTTCAAAACATTAATATTTATGTCACCTCCTATTATTATTGAGTCATTTTTTTTTACTTATAAAATCTATCAAAATGTCTAGTCTATTTAAACAAGTAACAGTATCAGAAGCAGGGGATCTATACAATCCTACAACTACAAATTTATAATTACTTATACTGTAACTAGCAGCACAAAATTCAAACACTTTATCTTCTAACAGTTGGTCATAAAATAATTTAGGCCGAGCGCACACGGTGTGACTGTTTTACAACTAACCAGTTGCGCTTGCAACTGTTTTGTGACATCGGCAAAGTATTGCAGTGGGGAGCCGCACACGACGCAACTGGTCGTTTGCGATTTTCAAAAAAGTTTGAAACCAGTCACATGCAACGGTGGGCCCGACGTTGCAGCAACCAGTTGCACGAGACCACGGGGTGTTTTGTGGTGTTTTGGTGGAAATTTGTTGATATTTTGACGGCCGTATAGTGTTCATCTCAATGAATGATCAAGAATTCAACTTGAAGCTCGTTGGAGAAGTGGAGAAACATGAAGTTATGTACAACTACAAACTGCCAGGATATTCAAGGAAAGATTTGACTGATAAAGCATGGCAAGATGTGTGTGTTGAATTGGGTTTGCCAGGTAATGTTATAAATTAATTAATTTTTTATTTGTAAACTAATCAATTGATTTAATTAATTAAATATTATACATTTAATTTTACCATAACTCAGGTGTTAACAACATAACCTCACAAACACTTGTACTTGTTAGTATAGCCTTGCCAAGGAAGTATACCCTCAGAAACCTATCAATTTGGTGTGAATAACCACGAGCAAATACTTGCCTAAAGAGTAAATACTTGTTTTTCAACAAGTTATCAGTAACCCATGCTTGTTTGAGTTTACTTGTTGATAAATGCATGTAACACATTCAGTATAGTGTAGGCCTAATACATTTATTTAAATGATGATGTATGGCTTAAGTAATTTCCGCAAAATAATACAGCCTACGCCTGACGTTATTTCTCAAATAAGGGTGAACCCAATGTTCCCTCTGTACGGGACCGCGCCGAACTTGGACAACGACACACGCGGACAACGTTAAAGTTGGACAGATTAAGTTTCCAGGGTTGTCGTTTGCGTGCAACGTTACCCTTGGACACTTTTGAATGTGTCCAGATTCGTCGTGTCGTGCAACGCCACCCCTGGACAACTTAAAAACTTGTCCAGGTTCGTCGTTTGCATGCAACGTTAAACTTGGACACATTTGAATGTGTCCAAGGGTAACGTTGCACGCAAACGACAACCCTGGACAACTTAAAAACTTGTCCAGGTTTGTCGTTTGCATGCAACGTTAAACTTGGACACATTTGAATGTGTCCAAGGGTAACGTTGCACGCAAACGACAACCCTGGACAACTTATAAATGTGTCCAGGTTCGTCGTTTGCGTGCAACGTTAAGCTTGGACACATTTGAATGTGTCCAGTTTCGTCGTGTCGTGCAACGACGAATCTGGACATTTGTCTTAAGTCTCTTGTTTTGGGACCTGACTGTACATTCTACCTGTCAAAGTCCATTGTTTGGGATTTCGACCAAGGCCCCACTAGAAAAACACGCCATGCTGAAGGTTCATGACGTCACACTAGTGGATAGATTCACTGCAATATCCCATATGTTTTAGGTAATAAAGCTGGCTGTTTTCAGATTTTACGGTTACATTTTCGTACAACTATCCACCACTGTGAAGTAGTGTTGCACATAATCGGCATTTTTGCATACATAAAAGTAAACGAATATTTTCTGTTCCCTACGGACGGAAAAACTAACACTTGCTCGGAAAACAACACATGTGTGTAGTATAAGTCTACTTTTTAATCGGTGAATAGCAAGACAACTAAATCACTGAACGTTAATATTTCGTGCTTGGTGACTGGCGCATGTCTGGAACCGCCTTTAGGATAAAGAAAATGCATCCCTCAGGCTTTTGTTTTGCGTTGTCCATGTTTGTCGCCAATCTTTCAGATTAGTTGAGCTATACTTTTTCTGTTTTCATAGCTTAGTATTATTTTTAGTTTTCTGGAAATTATGGATTAAAAATGAATGAAATAATCATGACAGTATTAGTAAGATTACATATACGTCTAACGTTGCCAAT